TGAGTTATAAAGGTTAACCTAGACTATTATGTCAATATTAATGCCTAGCCTAGAAACACGGGCGTTACACTAAGGGCTCCAAAGCCCATATCTGGTCCATTCTAAGGTCCAAGTGGATAAAGTTCCCAACTTTATCCCTTTAGACCCTCTAAGAGATAGAGATCTCATTTCCTAGTTCTAAAAGGACGAAACATAACTTGGCTTAACTCATTAAGCACTTAATCATGAAGACTTCTAGATCCACTTTTCCAGAAATGTTTCTAGCATCATACAACAACAGAAAATACCCTTACTTTCCGGACATGCGTGTCTTGGATTCTTATTAGGTCAAAATGAGGGTTTTTGACCCAAAGATCCATGCATGGTACCAAAATTCATTACTAGTCCAGATCCATAGCACCAAATGCCCTAAATGGCCTAAAGATTCATAAAGTTGCAAAGTTTATAAGATCTCACCACCCAATAATCAAAAACATGAAGATTTAGGGACTAAAATCAAGATCCAACAACCCATCATGATAAAAATAGAGTCTTGAACACTTACAAAGGTCGAGAAGAATGCTATGTGAGCTTATAACTCATGAATTGTTTTTATTGAATTTGTTCGGTCTCAACAGAATTTAGTTGATCATTTGGTGAAGGGGTTAGTTAAGGACTTGGTGAGAAAGTCAAAGATAGGATGAGATTAAGACATACTTTATATCTCTATGGTTAAGATACCTAATTCTCTTCTAATACAATATTATAAGCTAAGTTCAACATGGAAAGCTTAGGTATGGAGATTGAAGCATGTTTGTTTATACCATCCCAAAGTATGTGCTTAGACCTGTAGACCTAAGGTAGGTTGAAGTTATTTCTTAATAGTTCTTTTGAAAAAGTGCATATACAAGTGCATGATTTAGAAGAGCTAGAGTGTGAAGTTTTTCGACTTGATAAAACATGAGTTAGGCTTTCATGCACTCATTAATGGATAGAACACGTGGCTTGTAATATTGTCAAGTATAAAACATCAAAACTTGTGTAAAAACTTATGTGTATAATATCTTCAGTTACTCAAATGATTTGATGGGTTTAATCCTTAGGACACCTAGATTCTTGAATATTTGCAATGTGTATTATACTAATATGAAACTTCAATCTTCAAGACATTTTCATGTGTGAATGAGTTTGATTTTACGCTTACTATTTCGTTAATCAAGGATTACACTAAAATGTAGGGATGAATGTTGGTGATTTTCGTGTAGCTAGGATTCTATTTGAGACAAGAAGAATACCTTTTGGTTATATTCTGAGGCAGAAGGTGCGGGGTGCACACTTGGATAAGTTAAATGGACTCGGGAACACAAGGGTTTGAGGTTCCAAGAGGCGATGCCCCTAACAGGGTTCTAGGGGTAACGCTCCCAGTGGGGTCCAGTGTGCATATATAGGGAATATATATATATATATATATATATATATATATATATATATATATATATATATAGCAAAAGATAGAATATAGAAAAATTGATGCTCATTTCTGCATATTTATCTTATCAGAATAAAAAATTGTAAGGTATTTATATGTTTCAAATTTAGAATAGGGTTGTATTCCAAAACGATTTGTTTTTGGATCATCTCAAATAGAATTTCATGATACACAGATAATAAGATCGAAATCACAAATTTAAAAAGTGTTTTCATACATGATCTTTGAATTATCCAAGTGTTATGTGTTATTGTTGATATTTGAAACCCAAATCTAACAGTTTCTAACCATGGCAGAGCTTTTTAAAATCCATTTTATAGGTTAATAAGAAATAAAATAATAAAGAGTCGAATGGTCGTGTGAAAATTTTTTAAGGTTAATACATATTTTCGAAATCCATTGTTAAGGTTAATACATATGTATAGAAAGGCAGGGCGTTTGAGAATCCATTATCTGGATTAATAGGAGAGATAATATTGAAAATAGAATGAATGGTGTGAATTTTTTGTCAAAGGTTAATAGGTATTAATAGGAAGTAAATGGTTTATAATAATTCAAAATTATCCATTTAACAATTAAAAAAGAAAAAAAAAAAAAGAGATAATGTAGTGTGGTTCCACCCACCGCGGGACACCGTGGGACTCTTGAGCACACGCACCGCTCTACCCGACAAGGTGTTCCTGACGGTTGTCGCTACTCCACTTCAAACAACCTTACGTTGTGGTCCTCATATAATATAGCCTTAGGCCAAAGGGAGCGCACTATCACTTCCCTTATTTTTTCACTGTCAACTCTTTGCCACGTCATTTTCCCCTTACTCTCCCATCACCTAGCAGTGGACCTAAAAAATTCTCAGGTGAACGGTACACCACTGAGATTTTGTGCAACAATGTGATGTGTTGTAAAATAATATAAAACATGAAAAAAAAAATATATGGTGGAATCAATTGGTGGGGGAAGGGGGTTGGTTCACCACACACCAATGGGTGTGGTGTCCCCCGACATCTCACTTGCCCCTTCAGCCCACCAAATAGTGCGGTGGGTGGTATCCACCTTATCATAGATGTAAACCCATTGTATAAACCATTTTATAACATTACCATAATTCGCAGCTCAAATTAGGATTAGTTAGCATACCAGATTACCACAAAATAAAAGTTAACTTCAACCCACCATAACCATAACCAAACACTTGGTTTATTTACCATTTAAACACAGGTTTATTTAGCTTCATCCAAAGGGTCAGACCGCCTTCTCTTTGGCTCATTATCCCCCAAATGAAGCGAAAACCCTAAATCCTCCTCATCCGTCCCGCTTTTCAACGCACTCAGATTCTCAGACTCAGCCCTACACCGCCTCTCATTTCTATGCAGCGGCGACTGCCCATTGAAACTCGGAATAAACTGATGCTCCTCAATACTTGGCCCCACCTCCAAATTGCTTGCATTTTCCGCCGGAGACAAATTCATATCCGGGCCGCCACCACCACCACCACCCTCTTCCAAAGGAATATGCTGTTGGATATGAAGCCCTAACGGTTCCGCTTTATCTTTAGGAAGCACTATTTCCGGCGGTGAAGATTCCCCACCGCTTGACCCCATCACTGTTGCTGAAGCCGCCCTTTGCTCTTGCACCGCCGCTGTCCAATTCAAAAAAATCAACACAAAAATGAAAATTCTCGATACTAAAAGCAAAAATAGACTGAAAGAAACGAATTATATAACCTTTTAGGGCATCTCCGGTTGTTATTAGATCAAGTTCAAGGAGATTGAGTAGGCGGCCAAGGTCAACGCCGCTTGTCCAATTTTCCGGTGGCTGACCGACTTTAAGTTTCAATCTGCCCCTATTCGCTGTCCCACCCCATATGATCCCAATAGGCCTTGCTTTTGGTTTTTCTTCGTTCTCATTGTCATTCTCCTCAGCTTTTAAGACAATCAGACTTCCACTATCGCCTTCAAGGTCAAACGTTTGCTGGTTTTCTCCAACAACAAGAAAATCAGTAAAGAAACAAATACCCTTTTCGTCGTTATATTCAAGGGCATAAGCCAAGATTGTTCCTTTAGTCAACCCTGAACTCCTCCCAACTTTCATCACTTTTTTACCAATAAGACTATTGATGGGAGATTGCAAATCAACGATTTTCACATCTCCAATCTCCCCAACGTCTTTTACACATGTTGTTACAGTCGACATGTCAAAATCATCACTGAAAGGAATGAACGCCCCATCAGCTCTCACGAAGGTCTCTGCATTTGCACAAGTCGTAAACATGAGTCAAGTAACCAGGGTTAATGGTAACAATAATGTTGATAGAGCTAGGGCTAGGGCTAACCTGGGTTAATTCCAGCAAAGATACCATACCAAAGATCATCTGTGATAAATGAAGTAGCTCTTTCGACTGCACCAAGATATATCCCAGGTCCAAGTGTAGGTGGTAAAGGATGAAACATTTTCTGATTTGGGTAATCTAGATTGACAGCCACGTGGCGGTTTGTGAGAAAACCAACTTGTCTGCTGCCTGTTTGGCTTCTCACAATAGCTCCCAATGTACCATATGTCTCTTGACTTGCTACCTAACATACCATACCCAAAATCAAATGTGACATCACTTGGTGCATTTATTATTTTCAACTTCAACATAACGATTAATATTAATAAGGAATTATAACTGAATATTAACATTAATTTGTTTACACGATTGATAAATAACCAATCATTTTTTTCACATCAGCTTCACCGACATCCAACTATTCAATTCACTGTCTCCGCATCGGGTCACTCCAGATTTTTTAGTACATCTATAATCTATTGAGCTCAAAGTTTTTAATTTGTATCAAATACATCAGCTATTAGCATGTTGCTTAAAATATAATTTTACCATTGTTTTGTAATTAAATTAGATACTTTTTTAACATACGGACACAGTAGGACACAAAACTGGATGCTATATAAACAAATAAAAAAAAAGTATACACTATGGTTTCAAATAAAAACAACGTAATTATATATCAATAACCAACTACTATTGGTACTGATTATCAATAACCAATTATTTTACAAGTAAATTTGCCTGGTTGCTCTAGATACATTGTTGGCCCCTAACTTATTTTTTATGTGTCGATCGGTCATAAGCAAGAAACAAGCTATAGTCAGTTATAAAATTTAAAAAAGTTTAGGTAACAAAAAATTCCAGAACAGAAGGATACAGGATTTCAACCTGAACCCTAGTTTTGATATATAATACCTGAGAACCAGAACCGATACATGAGCCACTTCCACGAAGGTCATCCACAATATCAGTGTACAATTGTTCCTTGGTTGTTGGTTCAGGTGCACCAAAGTAAGAAAACTCCACAACATCCACATCACACCACACACTCCCGGGTCCCTGAAAAATGATTACATTGATACACAGAGTATAA